ACACAAATAAAACAAGTACTAGCTAAGATGTGGAGAAAAGGAACCCCTGGTGCACTGTTGGTGGAATGCAGATTGGTGCAGCAACTATGGAAAACAGTATGGAGGATCCTCAAAAAATAAGAAAATGAAACTGCCTTATGACCCTGTGATTCCACTTCTGGGTATATTAAACAGTAATTCGAAAGGGTATATGACCCCCATGTTCATTGCAGTGTTATTTACAATAGCCAAACTATGAAAGCAACCAAAGTGTCCACGAATAGATGAGTGGATAAAAAAAGTTGTGGTACACATATTAAAGGGAAAATACTCTGCCATAAAAAGGATGAAATCTTACCATTTGCAGCAAAATGGATGGAATTAGAGGGTATTATGCTAAGTGAAATAAGCCAGTTAAAGAGAAAGACAAATACCATATGATTTCACTTATATGTGAAGTCTAAAGAACAAAATAAACTGAATTGAGGCAGACTCATAAGCACAGAGAACAAACTGATGGTTGCTGAAGGAGAAGGGGGTTTGGAGGTCTGGGTAAAGGGATTGGGAAGTACAGATAGGTAATTGCAAGACAGCCATGAGGAAGTAAGGTATAGCATAGGAAATATTGTCAATAATATTGTAATGGCTATTTGTGGTGCCAGGTGGGCTCTGAAAATATCAGGGGAATACTTTGTAAAGATTTGATTATCTGGCTATTATGCTTTACACCTAAAACTAATAGAAAATAATGAAGAATGTATACTGTAATTGAAAAATAAATTTTAAAGTTATTTAAAAATATTGCTTCTTAGGAGAGGCCTATCCATACCACCCAAGTAAAGTAGTACCCGCCCTACCACCACACCCACTTGTTAGCATTCTATTTCCTTTTTTATAAACCAATAGATATTTAGAAACACAGAAAAAATACCAATTGTACAATTTTATGTATCATACCCATATTCCCTTGATGTTTAATCTCTTTATTCTTATAAGTTAGACTGAGAAAATCATGGAAATTGCTAAGTAATGTTTGGTGCAGTACATACTCTAGAGCAGCGGTTCTCAACCTGTGGATTGCGACCCCTTTGGGGGCCAAATGACCCTTTCACAGGGGTCGCCTAAGACCCTCGGAAAACACATATATAATTACATATTGTTTTTGTGATTAATCACTATGCTTTAATTATGTTCAATTTGTAACTGAAAATACATCCTGCGTATCAGATATTTATATTACGATTCATAACAATAGCAAAATTACAGTTATGAAGTAGGAACGAAAATAACTTTATGGTTGGGGGTCACCACAACATGAGGAACTGTATTAAAGGGTCGCGGCATTAGGAAGGTTGAGAACCACTGCTCTAGAAATTTGTTAGTTGGCAATCTTCCCTTTATCCTGTAATGAATGTATTTTGTTCACTAGAAGCCATATGAGTGTTACTAAAGCAGAAAATACCCTTTCAGAGACATTTGCATTCTATTATCTCAAAAGGATAAGTCTCTAAGGAAAAATTATCAGGCAATATGACAAGACATAGTGAAGCATCTGGAAAGAGCAGAAAAGATGTTTTTGGCCCTTTAAATCATACCTCATGTGTAAACCTACCAACCCTTGAGGAGAGAGACCTGTATTTGTCTCCAGAGAAAAGGGCTATGAAGTAAATCTCCATTAGTACTGGGAAAACTTAACATTCTTTTATTTAGCTTCCTGCTAAAATGGGAGCTTCAGAGAATGTTTATAGATAAACATAAAATGACATCCTTTAAAATATTTTCTAGGCTTAAAGAGGCAAATGCAGTGTTTGTTCTTCTTGAGGTCTGTATGGTGTTTGAATGAGTCCCCAAACTCCTGCAGTTACATGATCAGACTGAGTATATAGGAGCCTTTACCTTTCAACACCTATTGTTATTTAAGAAAATATTTCCTTATTTCTAGTTCTCCTATCAAGACACTGGTGACAATATAAATAATATTTTAAATACAGCCTAAAGTAAAAAAACCATAATAGCATTATGTCCTCAAAATTTTGAAATTTTAGTAAAATGGCAGTTATTATACTATAAAATACTTCGACATATGCAAATTATTTAAGACTCACAATCGGATGAAATTAATCTAAATCTAGACCATATATAACTAGTAACTGACCAATATCACAACCAATACTAAGTGTAAGTAAAATGTTCATAATTGTCATTAAATAACATGGGTTAAAATGTATCGTACATTTATATAAAATTTTCAATTGATTATATTTATTAATATTATATTTCTATTTATACAAAGTGTATTGTACATTAAGTATACTGATTAAATTTGAATTATAACTTTACAATATTAAGTTGTGGTAGTGGTCTTCAAATATCTGATAGTTTTAGGGTCAGTAAATTATTAAAGAAAAGGCTTAGAAGAAGTTTAGAAGAAGGATCATAATACAAAATTATTATGAGGCAACAATCTGAGCAGTTGATCGGAAGGACATATATTAAATACTGAGTGCTCATGAGAGGGAAGTAATAAACCTATTTTGTGTGTCCCGGTCAAGCCAGATGTAGAGAATGTGTTAAAAGAGCATTTGCAAACTGAAGTGACACTTTAAGATATTAAACAAAATGATAGAAGCCTGGTCTTTGAGTATGCATTGCAGACATAGGAAAACACTGATGGCATTAATGACCAATGATTAAGCTAACATGGATCCACAACAAACAAGTTATGCTTTATAAGTAAAAATGTGCATTTTTAAATTTGACTTATTTATGAAGCTAGATTAGTTTCATGTTATAACTTCTTTTTCTTGATGTCCTAATTTTTGTTTTATATAGTTTCTGGAGTTCATTTTTCTCCTCTTTGGAAAATCATGATAGTTTTGCTTTTCACCCATATTCTACTGAATCTCTTAACGTCCACTTTATTTCAGAGATTACAGACAAAGGCTTGCATGACTTCCTGACTCTTTTATTGCTCTAGGACCTGACAGAAGTTGAAAAATTAAAATCTTCTGAAGCAATTAAATGATTTCAAGTTATCCCATGTCTCATCTTAAACTACAATTTTCTTTTAAAGAAATGTGTCCTCCCCTTTTCGTGCTTAAAATTATTCCTCTTGATAGATAAAATGTTATACAATTGTCTTAATACGTTAATACCTTCCCAGATGGCAAATTCTTGCTGTTCTTGATCTTTTAAGATACACTTTTAAATTCTGGATTTACTTTACTGGTATTAGTTGATTCTGTGCTTAATAGATCTAGTTAACCCTTTCATATGCATTGTAGTTATGTGTCTTCATTTTTTCCTGCTATTGTATTTTCTGTCATTCATTCCACTTCTGTGAGGAATACAAACTAGAAGCTATGCTCTCATGACACAGCCTAGCAGTGATGCTGTGATACGACTAGAATGTTATAATACAAGGCAGAAAAAAAAATGTGATGAAAAGGATCAGGTAGCATTTCATTGGAGTTCATCAGATAAGATTACTATCAGCTGATTATGTATAGATAAATAAAAATCTTTACATAAAAGGTTTATTTAAGCTGGACTTTCAAAGAATCTCTTTAGTGGATCTATAAGTTACATGAAATTATATGTAATATTTGGAAGATACATGTACATATGCATTTGTGGTAGAGAGAGAAGGGTAGGAGAAGGTCACTAGTATTCACTGTATTTTGAAAGACATCTATAACACTCAAAGCGTTAAAAACGTATCACGCCACACGGAATAGTATTTGAAAAAGTTTTCAAAATCACTAAAATAAGTATGATCAACCTTACATTCTCATTTCCACCAAATGTTCATTAGCATTTTCTGCTTCTCAATCATCTGGATGAGAAACATGATGAACTTTTCTTTGAATTTTTCTGAAATATGCTTTCCAAAGATTAGAAAATACATTTGACTATTCCTCACTATTTTAAAACAGAATATGTTCACTTTCTTTCCATAACTTCCTTTACACCTACAAGATTTTTCACCACTGACAAAAAATAAGCCCATGATAATACTGTCCCTTTGTTGATTCTTTTGCATCCTTGTAATAAAAACTGTTGTCATTTTAAATCAATAACAAAAGGATAGAAATAATAGGCAGGATTAGAATATGGGCAGTAGACATCATATTAAAAATACATGTAGAATACTTTGAATTTATTATAGCATTTATAATGAAAATTGATGGGAAACTGAAGACAAACTAAGAGGAGCTATAGGGAAAAAAGATAATTTAAGCTCCCCATATGGAAAACAGAAGGAATAGATAATAGGGAAAAATACAAGTAGTTAAAAAAGTAAGAAATAGTGTTTTGGAGATGGAATTTTCTATAAGGATAAAGGCATGAAAAAATGGTAAGATGGTTTTAAAAGATTTAGAATCATAAAGTAAAAAGTGGCACCAATTGAACACAAATAAAAAGGGAGAGATAAATATAGCTACTTGATGGCATGAACTCAAAGTACCAGAATTTTTGAAATGTTTAAAAAAATCTAGTAAGGAAGTGTATAAAAGGTATGAGAATATTGTTTTGAGATCAGTAGAATATGAAGTGATGATAAAAGATTGACAAGCACCAAATAAGTAACAGGCAAAAACATAAAACTGAAACATAAATTCAGATATTGACATTCAGGAAGTATGACTATGTAACACTGCATAAGAAGCATATGTTTCCAGATCCAAACAATATTATTTTGTTCTACTTTGTGCATTTGCCGAATAAGGTAACAAAAGCATAAAGAGGTCTTATTCATTTTCATTTACATAAAATATTGCAATGATTTTAAAGTTAAAGAACCAAAAAATATTTTCCTGTTTTATTGAGCTGGTCAAATTCCTCCACATCTTGTGAACTCTGTAGTTTAGATGGAGCAATGATTTAAATGATTTTTCAGTTTTCCCCACTTTGTATATATATTGCATGTCCATGAATTTCACAGAAAGAGGTACGTTCAGAAATTTCTAGCAACAGAAATGATCTAATAATCATATAGATTTTAAGTAGTCAAATTTTACCTTTCCTCAGATTGTTTGCACAGGGCTAGGTGACTGACTGCTGCTGTTTGAGTAAGTTCCTGAGTTGCACAGACGTTGGACAAGATATTATCTCTCAATACTACGACCAATACTGAAAAATAGTGAAATAGTTCTATGAAATGCAGAAGCACAACCAATGAGCATTAATTCTAGACTAAAATGAAACAGTTCTGATTCTTCCAGGCTAATTTAATTGACATAAACCCAAGATTTACAATCACTACAATATTTAAGATTTTGAGGTACAGAGAATTAGCACTATAATGTAATTTGATAAAATACCAAATAAAACGCACAATTCTGTGCATGTGTTTGGTGGAGTCTAATCCCCTAAACCTGCTACCGAGGAGCATCAAGAGGCAAAGGGAAATTAATGTTACAGATGGAACTAAAATGGATAGTCATTGGATTTTAAAATAAGGAGACTATTTGGGTGGGCCTGATATAGAGTCCTGAAAATTGGAGGAGGGAGGCAGGGGAGTCAGAATCAGTGATAAAATATGAGCAGGATTGACCTGCTGTTGCTGGCTTTGAAGACAGAGTAAGGGGGCCACAAACCATAGAGTTCAGGTGGCCTCTGAGGGCAGGAAAGTGCAAGAAACAGAACTTTCTCCTAAGGATCCAGAAGGAACATAGTCTCTCCTATGTCTTAATTTTAGCCCAACAAGACTTATTTTGCACTTATGACCTCCACAACTGTAGATAATAAATTTATTTTAAAACACCAAATCTATGGTAGTTTGCCATAGAAGCAATAGGAAAAATATAAATATCCAATTCAACCTTAGCATGAAGAAAGCCCTTGCCTGAAAATCACATTGGGCATTTACACTCTCTGCTAAAATGTGGGACATTCTTCATACTTCTGGTCAGGTAGGTCTCTGATGGGGGTGCACCATGCTTTGGTCTTACTGCCTATGGCCCTTATTATTTCTCCTCAAATACAGAGATCTTATAGGGACGCAATAATCTGTCCATTGATCAATTGCAGCAGTTTGTGTCCACTTCTATTTAGATAGTTAATTAAAACTCAGTATTAGGTTCTTTAAAAGTAACACTGCATTGGGAATAGGAACTTTAGAGTCACACAGACCTGGATCAGATCAAAACTCCTGCCTTTCATTGGGAGAGTAACTTTGGGCAGTTTAAAACACCTGAACCTCTGTTTCTTGGTCTGTAAAAAAGGAATAGTAATGTTGTAGGTCAGGATCCCTAGAATCAGACCCTAAGATGAGGACTATGTACACATGATTTATTAAGGAAATGCCTCCAGGAAAAAATACCTAAGTTACCAGAGTAAGCAAGACATGGAGGGAAGCGATTTCGGGCAAAACCCTCGCATCAGCATGACCCTGCAGGGGAGCTTTGGGGTATAAATGACATCTCGTTTTCTTACTATTCGAGGCAATGGGCTGGGCTTTTATGCTCTGTAGGGCAGTCCTTGGGAAAGGTGCGCTGGGAGGGAAGTTAACTCCCAGATGGTTCTCTCTGGCTGTCTGTGCCTGAAGGCAAAGTGAATGCAGGAGCTTTTGGGCAATCTTCCAAAGAGAGTGGCAGGGGATGGCTGTGAGAAATAAAAGAACACAGAAGCTGGGGGAAGGGCACCCAGACCCAATAGGAGGGATCCACGGGGATGGGGTAGAATCTCCCACAAGCATTTACCTCAGAGAACCCTTCTAAAGACTGAATGCACACATGCTTTTCTTTCTTGAGCATTTAAGACTCCTAAACTATTTTTCGTTTGGAATAGCATGCAATACCTAGTGCCATGCTTTACACATGGAGTGCTCAGCAATGAAATAATTCTTTCTTGACACAGACATTATACCCAGAAAGGGTACAGGAGACAAAATAAAAATAAAGCAAATATGAAGGATACCAGACTAGAAAGTAACCAAATTAGTCTGAATCTAGCATTTCAAAATGTTTGTAATTGTAGTTGTATTTTTCATAGAGCTGGAAACTTGAGCTACTTGAGACTAGAAATTATTTTTATCTTTGAAAAGCTAGGCAAAGTCAACTAACCAACCAGCCAACCAATAATATATTTACTTGATGAGAATAAATCATAGACAAAATGCTTTTACCCCCAGGAAACAAACTAAGTACCCAGAATGCATGCAATTTTTTTCTTAAAGAAAATCTTCTTCTTTGCTACCCTGCTCCTATACTGATAATTAACACCTTTACTTGTGATAGCACTTTTCAGGTTTAAAGTGCACTCACATTTAAATGTAATTAAAGTGCATTCAAATTTTACATGGTGCTCACAAAACCTTGTCATACATTTTTTTTTACAAATGAGGGGACAAGCTCTGGGAGTTTAAGTGACTTAGTCAAGTTTGCACAGCTAAAGACAGGATGTCAACTTCTGAATCCAGGGACAAAATTCTACTCAGTGTTCTACATGATCTACATGGTCTCTTTAGCCTTGTATCAGTCAAGGGCCAGTCAGGAGACAGAAATGAGGAGAAATCTATAATAAAAAAAGAGCCATATGCTAATTAGATTGGAGGTCCTTCTGGACAATCTTCCGGAGGAGACCGGGGCTACCAGGGAAGCCAGAGTCCCGGGTGCCTCCAGGGGTGTGGGATAATTCAAAAGAATTCCCCAATCCCCACCCATGTCCTCATTGGGAATAATGTGCCTGTGGGCCACTTGATGGCCAAAAAATTGGTTGAGGTGTCACAGACTGGGCTGGTGAGGAAACCACCAGCTGGGGTGCCAGTGAAATGTGCTAGGAAACTACCCCTAAAACTCCAGCAAGGCTTACTGGGAAGCCACACACTAGAGAACTCACCAAACTTACTGGAGGGAATAAAACACTGGTTTCTTGCCCATCACTGGCCAGAAAGCCACCCACCACTACACCATAGAAGCAAGAAGAAAAGCACTGGAACCAAGAAGTCCCCTTTTTATATAGGGTCCTTCTGGCACCTTCTACTGACAAGTCCTAACACCATATCAAATAACATCAAAGAAATGTTCATAGGTTCTAACTCTAAAATCACAACTTAGGGCAAAGAAGAATTAGGAGCTGAGAAACACTCAATTAGCTGACACACCCCTCGATGACTTTCCTGGATTCTAGAGGGTAAAACGCTACTATTCCAAACTCCTGTTCCATTTGTTTTGTTTTTTTCTAATTACCGCCTACAGTAAAACGCAGACCGAACCTTTGGGGACACTGGTATGACACACTGTAAGTGCAAGGGGAGAGGGACAATGCAGTGATTGAGACCAGGTCTGGAGCCAAAATACTTGAGTGCAAATATGAGTTTCCCCACTGGCTAAATTTTCAGGCTTGCAAAAGTTAATTTCCTTATCTATAAAAGGGGATGGTAAGAGTACCTTCTTTATTAAGATGTCAGGAGAAATAAATTAATATATATAAAGCCTATAGGGTAACATCTAGCATGCAGTTAGAACTTGATAAATACTAGTATTGCCCATTCATGTTAGTCTATAATTTGTGTTTAAAAATAACTATTTAGTTCTTATTATCAATTTCCACTTGGGATTGTGTCTTATAACTCGAAAAGCCGACTTCTTTGGGCATTGCCTGTAGCTCTGGTTTCAGATCCTGGCACCGCCCCTGGCTCACTGAATAATCCTCATCAGTGGCAGCCAACTCACTGGGGATCTGGTTTCTCAAGTGAAAAGAGACACATGGTTAAACAAATCATCTCCCTTTCATATCTCTTCCAGTTCTGACTAAATCTGATTCACCTTTTTCCCCAAATAATGAGTTACACTTGAGAGGGGAAAAAGGAAGGAAATTAACATTTTAAGTGCTACCCACCTGTGTCGGGCAAGCACTTTGCATGCATTAACCTGATTTCATTCTCATCCCGGGATTAGTCCTTCCAACCCTAGTTAACAAATTCGGAACCATGCTCAGAAAGGTCAAGCAACACACTGCAGATCACACTCTTGGTAAGTAGCAGGGCCCGAAACCAAACCCGGCCTTTCTGTTTGGGTTGACAAAACCTTTCTAACTAACCGGCTTGCCTCCCACACCATCTTCATCTCAGACATCAAGATTCGGAACTGCTGGGTGCTTTCCACGCGTTAAGGAGATGAGTAGGTGTGCGATTCCTTTTCTGTCTTAGAGTTATCATTTGAAAGGAAAGCAAGTGCAAATCATTTACCAGTCACAAAAATTCTGACCACCACCCCTAACAGCTCACAGGAAATTCGCGGCTGAGTGGAAATCGGCAGCCCTCCAGCATCCGTGCGCCCCTGCCTCACCTCTCCTCCGGGCCGAGGACCTGCTGGAGGTTAAGGAGCCTGGTGGCGGCCCGCGACCTGAGATCCGGCCCCGACGGGCCGCAGTGTCCACCCTCGGAGCCTTCTTCTCCTTCTCTGCAGCAGGAGGTGGTCGGGTCAGGCCCTCTTAAGGTTTCTTCCCAAGTTACAGGTCCGAGTCGGAGGGCTTTCCAGGGCGTGGGTTAAACTGTCCATTTCTCCCAGGAGGCTGCTCCCCGCACCCCTCTCCCCAGCGCCCCAGCCCGCGGCCCCTTTCCGCTCCTCCGACAAGGACCCCTGAAGCCCCTTCCCCTCGCTCCCGGGAATCGCCTTTCACCAGCCATTCCGCCCTGCGCTCAGGCCCCGTCCCGGGGAAAGGGGTGCAGCTTTGCCGTCCCCCCTCTGGCGCCCAGCCTGCAGCTCTCGAACTTTCTGCCCCTCGAGGGGGAATTCTGAGAACTCTGCCTCGAGTCCGGCTGGAAACCGGAACAGTCGACACCTCTGCACTGCGAGCCCCTCCGCTGGCCTCCCCGGCTCCCCGCGCCCGGGCCCCG